CGAGTAAAAATAGAATTATTTCGATAAAACTATAAAAGTTATAGTTTATACCTACTATAAGATTGACCGAAAAAATGTAAATATTACGAAAAAAAAGCATTTAAACAAAAATATTATTAAAACATGCATTTGTATGCCCTAACCCATGAAATATGCGAAAATATGCAAAATAAAATTTAGTATTTGAATTACAAATAAGTCAAAACAAATTTTGACCGAATCCATTTTTTTTATAAAGTGTAGCAAAAAAACATGCAAATGCATTAAATTCACAGCCCTGTTTATAATAATTGATAAGTTTTAATGAATAATGAAAAATAAACAATTAGGTATAATTATATTATTATTTAAAATTTAATATATATCAATGATAATAGTATTTATTAATGCAGGTATCTCTAATGTGGAGAATTGATAAGTACATTAGAACTCCAATTATCCGAACGCCAATCATCCGGGCGTCCAATTAACCGGACGAGWAAAATACGGCACGTGCCGTTATTCATACACATGTTTCATAATCRTTTTTAGATTAGATAAAGAATAGGTACTACATATATATTATTCTTAATAATATCCGTCATTCCAACGTAGGTATATTAAAAATTATCGATAATAAAATACATAYACATATAACATTTTACAATATTGCCACACATACATAAATATTATTCTTAGTAAGTCAGTTGTTGTATAATCAAATTATGGTTACGTGTGTATATAACTTTTGATATATCATATGTCAATCATCCGGATATTTGCTTATCCGGACCACCCTTGACATTAATTAGTCCGGATAATTGGAGTTCTACTGTAATTTTATTGTAGTAGAATTAAAGTGGATATTATGATATAAAAAGCTTTTATTAAGCATTTTTAACTTACTATAATATTAATGCAAGTTAATAGTTGTTTTTTAAGTGATAGTTAGTTATTTGGATACTACACTTTTTTTWAAAATTATTTTAATAGTAGTATAAGAAAAATAAAAACCAATCTACTTACAAAAGCAGTTTTTACTGAACATGTGATAGATAATTTGAAATTGTGGATAAACAGTATGGAATCATTATATGAAAAACATATACGTGTGTCATCCTTGTTTAACCAGGCATTTATTATGGTAGCAGAACACCAATCAAATGGACTAATTGTCACTACCTTGACTAGATGTAATTTTGTATTAGTCACTTCATACGTACTAAAATCGAAACGAGGGTCGTTGCAATTCTGATAAACAAAACATTATATATTTAATGATTTTTTTTTTATTTAAAAAAAAATACTCACCTTCTGTTCCAAAATGAATATAATATTTGATATTGTTTTACTAAATGATACAATAATAGGATCTTGTTTGGTATGATAATAGCAACAAAGTTGTAGTCGAGGCCTAAACATAAATTTGTGGATAAATATGTTACAATGTAGGTACTTATTTATTTTTATTTCCTAGATGTTATATTAATAAAATGCACARGTATAATATGAGTATACGAGTATAAGGTCAACATTTATTTCTTATGTCTTACCCAATAATTTTATATACATGAACATTAGCTCTATGTTCATCTTTCACCAAAGGATTCCACGGATAAACTTCATTTATTGATGACTTGGACCAAGTGGCCACCATTGTTGCAGATACATTAAATGTAATCTTTCGTTCATTTTTTCTATTAGTAGTAAAATTGCTAAAATCAAATAATCCAATTTTTGGATCTAGAAATGACCATTTATTAAGTGTGCGATCGAATGAACGTCCAAAATATATGATGCCCAATTTATGATCCGAAAATGAGCATAAAAGTACTTGTTTTGCATATGATACTAGAAAAGAATATATTTGGCTTTATAACTCTATTAAACAATGTATTGAGTCATGACATACCGTTAATGAATTGTTCGCATTGAAATTTTGATTGTAAAAATTTATCAGTAATAATTTCGATTATATCACAAGTAACGGGATCAAATGTGACGAATATAGTTGATCCGTTACTAACTATAAATGCGATTCTGTCTCTTTTTATCCATTCAACAGCAATCAAATGGTGATCGTTTAGTTCATTCTGAATATTAAGGTGTTAAACATCAATTATTTAAAAGACATAGTAGGTAGATGCATTATTAATTACTCACTTCAAAATATTTTAACAAATCTCTCAATTTCAACGGTCTCTTATTAGACACAGACCAATTACATCCGATCGCTTCCACATAGTTTTTCTTGATGATCTTGTCTGTAGATGTTTCCGTTTCTTTTTTCTCATTATATCTGCACAGATATTATACATTTAACGACATGACATAATATAATAGATTAACATGGGGAACCCATAGAAATGAAATGAAAATAATAGTTTTTGACCTTGCGAGATCGACGAAACTATTGCTTGTACGTACTTGAAGTGACTAAGATCTGTGTAGCTAACAGTAAGATCGTTTCTCAACGTCCAGTAATGACATTCACAAACGAATGTAAGCATTACACTGTTTTAATCAAATAAAATGTGTGTAGACGTATTTGAACATTTTTCAGAGCTACGAATGGATTTGTCACATAATAATATCGACCATGGAGTTATAGGCGAAAAACAAACCAAATGCCAATAATTCAAACCGAAAAATTGAAATGCACGTGAGATAACGATCGGTGTTTGTAGGTTTTACTTTTTTCGAAGTAGTGGAAGTTGAGTCCTCCGTTTACTTTACAGTTATTTAAAGAATAATAATTATTATGATTCGAAAGTATAACAAATTATTATTCTGTGTTATTATTGTTGCCAAAATAATTTGCTCGTTATCAGTGATTTAATCACATAGCGGAAATATAATCAACAAGTAGCACAGTAGAAATAGTTTTCCCTGCTACGTCGTTTATTCTTTATTCCAAGCACAGATTAATAGATTATGTTATATGTGATAGTCACTTATATACATAAATATATTATCTATGCTTATATAGCGGCTGCTGCAGCGATTAGCTATATACTTTTATATCTGGTTATCTATGTTCCTAGACTGATTTAAGAATTCTGATATACTTAAGATTTCTGATTTTCTCTAGTCTCTCATCATTACTGCGGAAGTGCGGACCACGGTCTTAGATACACAATTTTTTTTTCTAGTACAGTTTCATTATTGCTTAAGAATATTACACGATGAGACTAACGGATTGCTTAAGAGACTTTAAGAAAGTTGGAGAATTGACGAAGAAGTATGCGAATCTTCCAGATTCGTACATCAAGCGTAGCATGGAAAGGGTAAGTGTGCGAAAGAGGAGAAATAAGTAATTCTGTTAATGAAAATGTTTCACTTAGGTTGTATGGAAAACACCTTTAAACAATCCTCGTTACTTGCCAAGGGCCGTTAAAAAGAAAAAATATCATTTTTCTGACCACAGGCCTTGGACGTTGCCGTTTAGTAGTCAAAACAATTTTGGAGATTTAGAGCCAAAAGTATTTTTGGAACCGATCAAAGAATGGTCAATCTTTAAAGGAGATAGGGTTAGTATTGAGCAATTATACTTATTTATAATACAACAGAATTACAGATTACCTATGTATGTTTCATGTATAGGTTGAAATTTTGGTTGGACCTGATAAGGGAAAACAGGGAATTGTTGGACATGTGATTCAAGAACGCAATTGGGTGATTGTGGATGGTTTAAATTGTGAACTAGAAGAAGTTTCTCATTATAAAGGGCACCTGTCCATGGTTCAAATGAAAGAAAATCCACTATTAGTCACTAGTGAGGTATCATTAGTAGATCCGTCTGACTTGTGAGTAAACACTTCACTTAAATAACCTAATTAGTAGGTATTTTGATTTKATTTTATTTTTAGGCAAGGTTGTTCTGTTGAATGGAGATTTACAGAGAGTGGTGATAAAGTACGAGTGTCAACCAGAAGTGGAAAGATAATTCCAATTCCATCATTAGCTAAGCAAACTTATGATTACAAGACACCRAATACTTATAAAGGTATGTATATGTTTTGTRGATTTAAAATGAGAATATCTGAACAAAATGTTGTAACTACTTTTCAATAGTTTTATTTAGCACATTTAAAATGCAATTAACTTTAATTTTAGTAAACCATTTTAGAGATTTATTATTATAATATAAAGAACTTATCTGTTGATGTTGTACAACTTTTTTTCATCAATTTTTGTTTTAATATTAGTATGCTTTATTTTTAGAATCTGTAAAAGATACTACAGAAGAYGATTTAAAAAAAATAACTTTTTCACCTTTATTGAAAACATTTGAAATGGATGTAATGGATGAAATGGGTATTAAAGAAGATCGAATTCCAGCTCCAACTTATTGGTATTGATTGTGAACAATTCAAGTAGTTTAGAAATGTTTTATGTTAAATAAATTCATTAATGTTTAATTCATTTAGAATAATGGTTAATTGTTATTAATAAACAAACCATTATAATTAATTTAAATATTATATATATATTTGTTTTATGAAAATAATTTTCAAGTTATATATTAATATCATTAAAGTACGACTGAAATGTTTCTGATAATAAATATAAGCTTAGTATATGGTGTACATTGATTATTTAATAACAAAACGCGTAATGTGTGGTATTTTATTCACAATTTGAATTATGATGTAATACTACATCAAAAATAAAGTACTTGAAAAATTKTTKATAATGTATTTAGTATTTTATTTATGATGGTGTTCTTATGAATTATTTTCATATATTATGTAGAATAATATACTTTATGTTTAGTTTGGATTATATAACTTGAAACTTAAGTGTTATTACTTATTGGAGTATATTTATCATTAAGTAAATTATTTGGGATTGTTTCTTTAGAAAAGTAGAGTTCAAAATATATACATTAATTTTTGAGCTTAATAAAAGGCAATACCTACTTCTAATTTTCAACGTTATGCACAGTGATTACCCAGTTAATATTAAATATGTATGAAACAATTATTATTCAATTCAAATTTTGATGTTATTAAGTTTAAATATTAATTAATTAAATTTAATTTAYAAATGTAATGTTAATTGTATCCAGAATGGTATCTTTAGTATTTGTTTAAAATTAATACATTTTAATAGAAACCATAATAATAAAATATATATACATATAATATATAAATATCTCRTGTCACAATAGAAAATGAATGTCGCTAAATTCCTCCGAAACAACTGCACCAATAGGTCTAAGAGAATGATGTAAACTATTTTCCACTTTTCTATTATTATCTAGAGAGGTGCTCAAATGGGGGTTTTAAGATTTTTGGTGGACATTTTTTTTGTTTATAAAAGGTTGTTGGTTATAGGATAAATAATTAGTAGAAATTAGTATTTATTTATTATTGGTTGTTATTAGTTATTTAGGAAGATCAAGTGTACAACTAGTAGCGTATGCAGGATTTTAGTTTAGTTAAGGTTTTTCATGATTTAATAATTTACATTATTGTTTRGTAATCAGTTTTTATATAATTAGTTATGAGTTAATGACAAATTATAATTAATAATAAATCAACAATTTATTTTATATCTAATAAAAATTACCAACAATTTTATTGATCCACKCTGAGTATTGAAATAGTGGTAAATAATTTTTTTTTTGTAAAAAGAAAACATTTTAAGAGAGGTTAGAACCCTATCCCTGCGTACGTTGCCGGGTATTACTGTACATATATACATAAAATCAGATTTTCGAACATTGTCTACCAAGATAAGTAACACTTACTGTAACGATTTTCACTTAACAGGAATTGAACAATCCTAATTTCTAAAAGTTGCCATTTTTTATGAGCAACAAGTGCACAGGATTAGCTAGTTTTATTAAAATAATTATAATGAATTAAATCATAGTAATGTTATCTATATAATATACACTTAAAAATAAATTGTCAGCTCAATTTTTTGCTCCTAGGTTTATGTGCAGCATGTAGAATTGTTTATTAGATTATTGAACAATTTTAGAGTAAAATCACCTATTGCTAAAATTTCAGAGCATATTATTTTTTAGGGTTTGACTAAACAGTTTTATATTTTATTATTATCTGAGTAAATAATCGACTTGGAAAAAAAGGTTTTTACAAATGGCTTATTGTGTATACCATAATTTATGTTAAAATCAAGCACGTACACAGAATAAAAATTGGGGGGGGGGGCTTACAAAATATAGCAATACAAATTGTATAGCAACATAATAAAACAATTTATTTCTCCTTACTCATTATTTTTAATGTGACTATTATTATGCTAAATATTAAAATTTTATGTATGTCTTTTGTTCAGAAGTAAGTAAGTAGGTATGTTACTATACTGGGAAAATAATTTCGTGAACCTTCCACCCCCACCATCGATGTATACGTGCCTGGTTAAAATTTTTAACAATAAAAAAAAAACTCGTGGATTATAGTGTACATTGTATTAGACGTGTTAAAAGGTTTCTTYGTTGACTACAATCGAGGCCTTTGAAGATGATACCGTGCACAAACCAGCTAAACACTGACAGACGTCTTGTGGATGACGAGTGTATTGCTGGAAAGCGGAAGTCTTGCCATCAGCTTTATTATATTATACCTATTATTATATTCAAAAGCCGAGGGTCCGAAATCGACCTCTCAAACTATATAATATAATATTTTTGTGTGTTTGTGTGTATCAACTACATTGAAGTGGAAAAACCCACTCAACATTTTCAGCGGAAAGTATTTATTTATTTTTTAATGACTTCCGGACTTTTTTTAAAACTTATTTTTAGTTGAAAAATAAATATTAAAATATAAAATATTTTTTTTACCGAATGTCTACCGCACACGGGGCCATGGCGCAGCTTTTTGTCACTGCAAATCATCCTCGCCAGTCGCCAATCCAATTATATGAAAGTGGCCTTTGCTGCGATTAGTCTATGTATTTTATCAAAAATATTATCATTTATGACTGCTGAAAAACAAATACCAAAAAGGTTACAAATATCACGTTATTCTTGTGCACTGATTTTTATTGTTTTTTACAATTTACTGGACTTTACAAGTACCTGCCTATAGGTTCAAGTTTCACTCCATCGTCGTCGAAAATGTGTTTTTTTTATAAAAAAAATAATCTACTATACGTCTATACAATATTATTGTAATGACCCGTGAACTACTTTAAGTGTAACAAAATGATATTTTTGTGGTTTTGCAATTTTTCAACTCATTGCCTGTACACTGCAGTCGATTTACGACACGACGCGACGGTGTTATGATACAAATATCGTAATTTATTAAGCTGACAAAATATATTGCTTTATTATTTAATTAAAATTAAAATTTGTTTTTCTTCAGAGACATGAGAGACAGAGTGTTCACYACTGTTTATTTATTGTATGTTACTTTAAAATACAATATCCAAAGTATTTAAATTATACAATTATCGTATTAAATCAATATATGTTAAGGGTTATAGGAACCAATGTCTAAAATAAAAATTCGGCATCTGCATGTTCAAATTATGGAAGAACCTAGGTAAACCATCGCTGGGTTAAAAAAGATTGATATAATCTACTTTGTAGAAATACTGCATTGATTTTCAACTTTGCGGTTGTTTCTTGTAGAAAATTATATCTAGTTGGTATTTAGGGGATCGAAAGTAAAATTTCCTCAGTATTTTATTTTAAGCTATTTTTAGGTGACTATTGTATTCAATTTGTATACAGGAAATGCACACATTTCAGGGGTAAAATTAATATAGATCCTAAAGAAAATCAAGTGTAACCGATAGACATTGGCATAACTGATAACTACCAATACAATTTAACATATAAATCTTACCTACCTATGTATTTTTTCAGATCTACCTTTACTTTAAGGCAATATAAAACCAGATAATATGTCAACAAATCAATGTTATAAACTTATAAATGATTTCTACTGCATTACAAATTATGTATCGAAAAATTTAAAAAAWTTAAAAAACAATATTAAAATTACACAGTTACGCATCATTTAGTCACTTTTTTTATGTAATTGGAAAGAAAGAGTTTATTTTTGTTTGTTCAATATTCTAAGTATATACTGTTTTAATAATTTATCTTCCCCTGCTGATTAAAATATCGTCTCATCTGATTAAATCCAATATGTCTCTTGCCATTTCTCTCAAAAATCTTGGAAAGACTTATTTTAAAACGCTTAATACCGCATATTATCAGTAACAATGTACTTCCAAATACTCAGTTCTGGTTCYGAAACTCCCATAGCACAATACAYCAAGTGTATCGAGTTGTTGATGTTATTTCTACATCCCTGGAAAAAAAAGCTATATTGCTCTTGTGTTTTTCTAGATGTAGCACAAGTGTTCGACCGAGTGTGGCATAAAGGTTTGCAATTTAAACTTAAAAAATTTCTTCCCTCATCATTATACTTATTAATTAAATCTTATTTGACTGATCGATACTTTCAAGTCCAATACAACTCATCGATTTCAGGAATCGCACCAATTAAAGCGGGTGTACCACAATAAGGTGGTATACTTTCCCCTTTTCTCTTCAACGTCTACGTAGCTGACCAACCCACCACGCAACAAACTATTGTAGCCGATTATGCCGACGACAAAGTAATTTTATCCATTAATAAGAATCCTCTAACTGCCTCATCCAACTTACAAGTACATCTAAATCACTTATCCGATTGGTACCAAAAATGGCGAGTCAAAATAAATCCATACACACAACGTTCACACTCAAACAAGGGATATGTCCAAACGTAACCCTTAACAATGTACAAATTCCCACTTCCGATACTGTAAAATATCTAGGATTGATTCTTGATAAAATACTGACATGGAATAAACACCTACAAACCAAACGACTAACTTTAAATAATCGCATGCGCATGCTCAGACCTCTCTTAATTAGAAATAAGTGCTCCACCCTTAACACCAAACTATTAATCTACAAAGCTCTACTTAAACCAATCTGGACGTATGGACTCCAACTGTGGGGTGCTGCCGAAAAATCCAACACTAATCGAATCCAAACATTCCAAAATATATCAATCCGACGACTATCTAATGCCCCGCCTTATAYCTCTAACCAAACTCTTCATAACAATCTTCATATGAGAACTATTGTAGAGGAAGCACACATTTTTTATACACGTTTTCACAAACGACTTCAAACCCATCCAAACCCTCTCATAAAAGATCTTTCCATCCTTACACTCCCAGGAAATCCTAACCGCAGATTAAAAAGGAAATGGTGCTGTGACCTTTTACAAAACTTAAATGACTAAAGTCTGTATGTAGTTATAATAATTAATCAATAGTCAAGAGTCACTAATGGGTGGCTGCTTAATCACACCTTTCATGTCTTATTTATTTATTTTTTAATTTAATTTAATTTTTTTTTCTGTTTTGTTTGTTT